TTTTTTTTTTTTTTTTTTTTTTTTTTTTTTTTTTTTTTTTTTTTTTTTTTTTTTTTTTTTTTTTTTTGCTTCATCAAACAAATTTCTAAAGTTCGATGCATCTAAGAGGTCCCTAAAGTTTCAATGTTGTGTTTAATTAGTCACTTATTGTTTAGACATCTTTAAAACTCACAAATGCATTAGCACAAAATTGAAATGTCAAACAAAGTTCAAGTGTCTAATTATCTTTTTTTAAAAAAACAAATAAATATTCAATAGGCAAAGGATCCGACACAAAATTGAAAACTCAAAAGCATAGAATCCTAACGCCAATTCCAAGAGACATCGAGGGTTTTCGATAGGCCTTCAATCCAACGCCTTGGGAACTTTTGGGTTCATAAATTATTTAAAGAGTTGGCCACAATGTGGCTATCAACTTTTCACTATTGGATGTGTGAGAAAAATGGTAAATGTGCCTCAAAATTATATCGAGTAATTATTAGGAGGCATATAGAATAATCCAACTGTTATTATGAGGCAGCCACAAAATTGATATATTTTCCGAGTCAGAAGGAAGAAAGATAGATGCATGAGGAGACAGAGCACCCTTATATGTTGATTAAGGATGCGTGTACGTGTAAGAGAGAGAGAGAGAGAGTGAGCACCTCAGTTGCATCACGGCGAAGAGCCAGCATGCCGGCCTCAACACAAACAGCTTTTAGTTGTGCACCATTGAAGTCGTCAGTGGACCGAGCTAATTCTTCAAAATTGACATCTGGGTGGACATTCATCTTCCTCGAGTGGATCTAAAATTGTATTTTATAACAATTATGAAATGACAAATAAACAATCTACATATTACACGGAAAAACATGGGCAAAGCGGAGAGGAGGAAGACCTCTTAGCTCATCGTAGATTAAGAAATTATATTCTAGAAAAAAAGTTAAAATTCTATAGTTCTCTCTCATTTGTCCTCTAAATTTTCAAAATTGAAAGATTTAGAGGGAAATTTTTTGCTGCCTTGGAAATTTCTGGGAAAAAAACAGAAAAAGAAGCAACACAAAAAACATAAGATAAGCATAAGAACCTGCATGATTCGGGCCCTGGCTTCTTCAGTTGGATGAGGAAACTCAATCTTCCGATCTAATCTACCAGAACGCATGAGTGCTGGATCAAGAATATCAGCACGATTTGTTGCTGCTATAACCTGAAATAATAAAAATTCTAATTTAGTAAAATGAAAATGAAAATGAAACATCATGAAATACTAAACGGCCCAAAGGCCAAGAGATTTTAGAAGTCAAATGCTGATCAATCAACATAAACCCCCCACCCTACCCTGATGTGGAACCACAGAACTATTGATATCAAAATAATTCAAGGAACAAAAGAAAGACCTTAATGCGTTCATCACTACTAAACCCATCCAGTTGATTGAGTAACTCCAGCATGGTTCGTTGCACCTCCCTGTCTCCACTTACTTCGCTGCAGTCAAAAAATAATTATTAATAAATAAATAAAAGAGAATTTTATGAATATTCTGAAAGGGGAAAGCATTAACAGACCTGTCAAATCGCTTGGTTCCAATAGCATCAATTTCATCAATAAAAATGATGCAGGGGGATTTTTCTTTTGCAAGCTGAAAAGCATCTCGAACAAGTTTCGCGCCATCACCAATGAACATCTGCGATAATTCCAAGTTACATTGCTATTAGACATGTCTAATAAAAGGAAAGAGAAATAAAAGGGTACAAAAACCACATGAAGCCAATTCAACTGAATCAGGGACATCAAAAATAACCTTTTAGCTTCATTAATATAGTATGATGCAAAGAAAACTTGTAAGAGAGATAAGTTTCTGAGGTTTCTTGACCCAATAACTATTTTTCCTAAGCATATCTGTACCTGAACAAGTTGTGGGCCAGCCAATTTCAAGAAGGTAGCATTTGTTTGTGCTGCACATGCACGTGCCATCAAAGTTTTCCCAGTGCCAGGAGGTCCATACAAAAGCACACCTTTAGGTGGACGAATTCCTAGTTTCTGAAACCTCTCTTTATGAGTCATGGGCAAGACAATGGCCTCTACTAGTTCTTGGATCTGTGCCATTAATGTAACGATCAATTAAAAATGACATCCAATATAACCTGCAAAGTAATGAACTAGTGGACAAAATCAAGTGTCTGAAAGTGCCTGCTTTTCCAGCCCTCCAATGTCATTGTAGTCTTCTGTAGGTTTCTCATCAACCTCCATAGCCTTCACTCGAGAATCATACTCAGATGGCAGAGTATCCAAAATCAGGTAACTATCCTTGTTTACACCAACCAAGTCACCTGGCTTTAATTTATCAGGATCCACAAGTCCAACAACAGGTAAAAAGATAGTCTGCAGCCAAGAAAACCTAACGTTTAATACATTTTTTGCCAATTTCTGGACAATAAGAGGACTGAGACTTTTCTAGCAAACACATCATGTTTCTAGACTATCAAACTGACGAAATCTTGATAATCATAACCGTCTTGCCCGTTTTATGCTATTAACATATCTTATGATTCAGCATGACAATACGAGTCAGTGAACACAATCAGTTAGAAATTTATCATACTTTTAAATCACAAAATATTACACTAACTATATTCATTCCAACCTAAATTGTGGTTGAAGAAATTTTACTGACGTAAAATCATTGACAGTAAGAACAGTGGAGAACATAATATGATCACATAAAAGAATCTGGTTACAGTAACCTGGCGAGTGGATGTCTTCAGTACAACACACTTTCCTTTCCTTTGTGAATCAAGATCAATATTTGCACCATCTTCTTCTGCGTCATCTTCTGGGTTCATTTCCAAAATCTGAAAAATCAATAGGGAGGAAAGAACAGAATTCAGCGAATGTGGACCAATTCTCAACAAAACCAACTTGCCCACTTAAAATGAGACAAAATCAACCTTACAAGCGTTAAAAGTAACACATCAACCGCGGTTCCAAGAGGGTGTAGAATAAAAAACACATCCATGATTAACACACCATTACATGGAAAATTGAAGGAAGAGACGCAGCAATTTCTTAAGAAAAATGACAGCATAAATCTCTAAACCATGAATACTAGAAACTTCAAAAGAGCACCTTTTATCACAGAATCTACGTAATAAAAATCCCAAGTTACTCGAGGTTTTTGGCTCAGAAAGAGAAACAAGAAAACTGAAAACAAAGCATAAATAAATATTATTACCACCCGACCACCTATGAAATAGCTATTATTCCTTTCTTTCATTATATCCAATAGCATACTTTCCACAGATTCACTTCAAAGATTAAATAATGTGAACTTTCTCCCACGCATTTCCTTGGCTTGATGTAGAAAATCTACATCGGAAACAATTCCAACTAAACCTCGCATAAATATTAGAATCCAGAATATATCTGTTTAGTTTATGTATTTTAATAAAAATATTAAAACAATTCCAGTCCACCAGCCTTTGCAAGACGCAAGGACATAATTGATTTCACTTCATATACAAAATGTAACCATCTCGGAGCCTAACATAAAAAGGTAAACCTGGGGTTTGCTACAAGAACGAAGTGAAACGCAGATACAAATAATTTTGAGAGAAAAAGAATTAGTTTGAGAGCATAACAAGCCAACAGCATACCTCGACAATGTTCCCGACCAAGTAAGGCAGCTGCTTATTGAGTTTAATCTTCTCCTGGTTCTCCTTTATTTTTTCCTTGATTGATTCCAACTCCAGATTTGTTCTTTGCACCTCTTCCTACACTCCAATAACCAGTCAGAAAAATCAGAAACCTCCACTACCTATTGAAAATTTAACTTAAATAACGCCGCCGAAGAAAAAAAATTATAAAAACAATCAGGTAGAGACAGGAGAGCTTATTTTTCAGTAACTGAAACAAAAGAACAAAACAGACCGAAAAGAACTCCAAAATTACTCAAGTATACACGCACAACATTAAAAAAGTTGAACAGTACATGATTGAAAGAGTAAAGAAGAATTCAGGACCTTGAGAATTCGGATCTCGTTGTCAAGCAGACGAGAAGCCCTAACAATGTCGTCAGTGGTCATGGAAGCAAGCTGATCGTCTTCGAAATTGGAATCTTCAACCATAGCTGTCGCCATTAGGATGAAATTCAATGGAGGTCGAGTTGCAGAAATTGCACGAAGCTAAACGAGACCAGCAGAGATGGAGAGAGGAAGAAGGGAAAGAAAAGATTGGAAATGGAAGATTTTAACTTGTCGCCGAAGAAAGAAATTAGAAGAGATCTAATTGGGCCGATCTTATTGGGCCTTTCACAATTGGGCTGAAAATTTAACGAGCCCACCTGTTTCACAATTGGGCCTGTAATAAATGTGGGCTATTGCCAGAGAAAAACTAGAGATTATTGTGAAATTTTTATATTTGTCTCCAAAATATTTCCCATATTTGTAATAATTCCCCTGTACCTAATTAATTTTTTAAAAAATTTATTAATAATTAATAAATAAATAATATATATATATATATTATATATGCCATATATAAATTTAGAAAACTTTTTGAAGTCCATAAACGTAATTTAAAAAAATGGAAAGTTTATGAATTTATTATAATTTTTTAATATTCAGACTAGAGATATCTTTTTTATAATTGAATGAAATTATATGGTTTTTACTTTTTTTATTACAAAAAAAAAATATGTCGTCAAATATGAATACTACGGCTGTAGTTTTATGAAAAAAGCCAAATCCCCTTATCGGATTTGAACCGATGACTTACGCCTTACCATGGCGTTACTCGACCACTGAGTTAAAAAGGCCTATTTGATTCAATTTCTGAATAAGCCACTAGCCCCGATGAGTCTAGTGTATATAATTATTATAAATTATAAATAATAATTTATGTACATAATATATCTTATCCACATAGTCGTTCATTAAGGAATGAAAAATTGGATTTATCTAATGAGTATAGGTAAAATGGTTTATTGATATTGGATTTGATCAATGCAATGAATTGTTTCATCATAAAACCGATCCTAATTAAATTGATGAGCCCCACCCTAACGAAATTCATTTGATTGAGACGTTTTCTTTGGGCTTTCTTTTTCGAGCTTACCATCAAGGCTTTAAAACACATTTGCTAGCGGAAGTTTCCATTCACTTATATATGGTGTTTGTTCTCCTCCCAACCAATGTGGGACATCACATTTCACCCCTCCTTCAGGACCCAACATCCTCGACACTCTTTTCTTCCTCCAATCGATGTGGGATCGCCCCCAAATCCACCCATTTGGGACCAACGTCCTTATTGGTACACCGCCTCTTGTCTACCCCCTTCGGAGAACAGCGAGAAAGTTGGCACATCATCCAGTGTCTGGCTGATATATTTATAAGAGTGTGGAAACCTTCTCTTATTATAAGAGTTTTAAAACCTTAAAAGGAAGACTAAAAGAAAAAATTAAACATGAAGAGTATCAAAATCAGCTATTATGCTTGATTGATGAACAAGATAGAGAAGCTGAAACATTCTAAATATACATCAGAAAATCAGTTCAACCATTCCTTTCAGTAACACAACAGACAGAGCTTTGGCATCAAGAACAATCAAAATACTATTTTACAGCTTAGGTGCAAGCCGAACCAATGCAAGATATCGGAGACGATGCCCCAACACAGAGAAGACAATCTGTATGAACAGAATGCATTTGGAATCAAGAACATAAGAAAAAACTATCCTACAGCTATCCAGTAAAAGCCGAACCGATGCAAGATACCAGAGACGATCCCGAGCACAGAGAGGACAATCTGTATGAACAAACAATGCTTTTGGAATCAAGTACATAAGAAAAAACTATCCTTCAGCTATCCAGTATAAGCCGAAGCAATGCAAGATAGCGGAGACGATCCCCAACACAGAGAGGACAATCTGTATGAACAGACGATGCTTTTGGAATCAAGAACATAAGAAAACTATTTTACAGCTTCCAGTATAAGCCGAACCGATGCAAGATCCCGGAGATGAGGCCCCAAAACAGGATCTCTGCAAAGATCACATACAAGAGAATGCCCACTTTTTTTGAATGCCAAACTCCAATGAAAAGATGCTTCTTTATCCAATAGATCTGCCATGGATATGTTACACAGATAATAATGGATTAGAACAGACTCGGGAACCAAAAACTGGACTTTGAGTTCATTTGTCAACTCGTGAGTTTAAATCTTGTTTTTGTCAGACTTTCAAATTTGTTCTATTTTGGTTCCTAAACTTGCAAAAATTTTGTTTTTGTCCTTTCAAATTTGTTCTATTTCAGTTCTAGAACTTTTACTAATCATGTTGATCCTTTGCTACGTTACTTTTCTACCTTAAATCTTCTTTGTCCAATATAAATAAAAGATGGTATACGTTATTTTTTAAACAGCAAAGAAAAGAACAGACCAGTGTGTTGTGGGGGTCTTCATAATACCATCCATTGATGAAACCTGCAAAAATGCCAGCAGCTGCCATAACATACACGAGCATCGCGTTCATCCCAATCCACTCCAATGGTAGAAACAAGTACCTCAAACCCCAGATATCAACCTGTCTCCGATGGGAAAAGCGAAACTTTTATCAATATAGTGAAGAAAGTTGAAGAACCTTTGTGACAGTTCAAGTCCACCGCCAGCAGATATTGTCATTTTTCGGTTTTCCCTTAAGGTTTTTAAAACGTGTTTGTTAGGGAGAGATTTCCACACCCTCATAAGAAATGTTTCGTTCTCCTCTCCAACCGATGTGGGATCTCACAATCCACTCCCCTTAGGGGCCAGCGTCATCGCTGACACACTATTCGGTGTTTGGCTCTGATAATATTTTTGTAACCGCTCAAGTCCACCGCTAGCAGATATTGTCCTCTTTGGGTTTTCCCTTTCAGGCTTCCCCTCAAGGTTTTTAAAACCCGTCGGTTAGGGAAAGGTTTCCACACCCTTATAAGGAATGCTTCGTTCACCTCTTCAACTAATGTGGGATCTCACAATCCACCCCCTTGGGGGCCAGCACCCTTGCTGGCACACCGCTCATGCACCCCCCTTGGGGGCCCAGCATCCTCGCTGACACACCATTCGATGTCTCACTCTAATACTATTTGTAACCGACCAAGCCCACCGCTAGCAGATATTGTCCTCTTTAGGTTTTTCTTTTTGGGATTCCCCTTAAGGTTTTTAAAACACATCGGTTAGGGAGAGGATTCCATACCCTTATAAAAAATGCTTCGTTCTCCTCTCCAACTGATGTGGGATCTCACAATCCACTCTCTTGGGGGCCCAACGCCCTCATTGGCACACCACTCAATGTCTAGCTCTGATACCATTTGTAATAGCTCAAGCTTACCGCTAGCAGATATTGTCTTCTTTGGGCTTTCTCTTTCGAGCTTCCTCTCAAGATTTTTAAAATGCATCGGTTAGGGAGAGGTTTCCACACCCTTATAAGGAATGCTTCATTCTCCTCTCCAATCGACGTGGGATCTCACAACTTCATATGCATACAAGCACAAAACTGTTATCCTTAAATACAACTGAATTATGGCAGGAACATAACCGAAAAGTAGTTTAAAAAAGAAGAGAAGAGTACCAAAGCGTAGAAGACTGAGAAAACCAATGCTGCAGCTCCCAATGTCACACAGACATAGCTAAACGTATATAACTGCTTATTTAATGGAATCGCTGCATCGATCAAAGACGCATATTGTTATTTGCAATAAACGAAGATAAATACAGCAAAAGTTGCACAGATTTGACAGTTGGATATGTGCCACACCATGAGTGAAATGAAGAACAAGTCCTAAAATAAGAAGAGTGAAGCCCATTGTAACCCATTGCTTCAGCCTAGCTGAGTGATCCTGTGTATAAGCAGCGTCAAATGGCATACAAAGAATTGAAAAATGTTGATTAGCATTTAGTTCCCTGTCAAGCTTTGTATCAATTCTATCCTTATAGTTTTAGAAGTTAAACCATAATCACTGTAGTTTGGTTGAATCGTCCAAAACATCCCTACGACTACCAAATTCTTGCAAGTTTCTTGTGCGGTGCATTCTTATACTTTATACTATCACTAGGACATCATCTCTCCGTCACATCTAAATAGAATATGTGACGTAAAAACGACGTTACAAGCCAATAATAACAAGGGAGTTTTGGAAGATTTAACTAAAATATAGGAACGAAAAGGTTGCATTTAGGGATCAAACTAGAACAAAGATCGAATCATACAGCTCAAATGAACAAGAACTAACCTGAAAATGAATTAGAACATGCCCAAAATGCACTCCAATAATTGAGGACAGAATGGCAGATATCGAGCTGCAGTTGCAAGGATGTGTACCCTTGATGAAGTTCAAAATAATCTAGTTTTATAACTATAATGAACAAAAGCTGATAGTTCATTATCAACTTCTGTTTATGAGTTCCTCATAAATAAGAAACGAGTACGAATTTTTTTCAAACATTTCATTTCATTCAATTCTCTGTCGCTATGAAGCTGCAAAAGTAAATAGAATTTCAGTATTTCTAAGCATATTTCATGTAAGATCCCTCATCGGTTGAAGAGGAGAACAAAACATTCCTTGCAAGGGTGTGAAAACCTCTCCTTAGCAGATGCGTTTTAAAAACCTCGAGGGGAAGCCTGAGAGGGAAAGCCCAAAGAGGACAATACCTGCTAGCAGTGGACTTGGGATGTTACAAATGGTCTCAGAGCCAGACACCGAGCATGGTGCTAACGAGGACGTTGAACCCCTAAGAGGGGTGGATTGTGAGATCCCACATCGGTTGGAGAGGAGAACGAAACATTCCTTATAAGGGTGTAGAAATCTCTCTCTAGCATACGCATTTTAAAAACCTTGAGGGGAAGCCAGAAATAGAAAACCCAAAGAGGACAATATCTATCTAGCATACGCGTTTTAAGGTTCCATTTTCTCTATCTAGCAAACCCACCTGATATGTTCAAGTGCCAACTATTTCCAACAAAAACACCATATTCTAGTACGATTGTGGATGAACTCAGAAATTGAGCATTGAATAATCTATAATCCTCAAGTAAATCAGAATCCATAATATTGAATTATATCAGCATAATCCTCAAGTAAATCAGAATCCATAATATTGAATTATATCAGCATGACAGACCTTAAAATTCCTTCAGGTTCAAACGGGGCAAAACACCATGATGGAGCATTATCTCGAAAAGGCCCTGCGTATGGAGAATTCTCAGT